AGGAATTAACAGTTCAGAAAGAAACCAAGCAGTTTCACAGAGGAGAGCATAGCCCATGTTATGGGCTATGGACACGGTGTGCACACAGCCTCCAGGCTGGGAAATCCAAACGCTTCTGCCAGCGGCCAAGTTCAGCTCATGCTTGCCCCGCTGCCTGTACTTCTGTCCCAAGCATTCCCTGCTGACTCCTGTCAAAGGGAGGGCAATGGGCTCTGTGGATTTTTGACTGTGCAGGGCTGTCTAAAAACACGACAGACTTCCGAGTTAAACGTAATTGCCCTTTTAATTATTTCAAGCAAAAAGACCATTCACACTTGTAACGAACTCCGTATTACTGACCCTTAACAAAAGGCTCATTGCTCTCCCTGCTGAGCCAGGCCTCTCTGGTATCCCATAACCAGCCTGGTCCCAGGTGCACAGGAACAGATTTGAGAAATCATACACACAGGTAAGGCCACCCACACATCCCTCACTATGGAGAAACGTGGGCTGAAAGGTCTCCAGAGAGCAGCCTGGATCAAGATCCACACTGCCACAACACTGTGAGAACCACGGCACAACCACTCGTCAGCAGAGATGTTCCTGCCAACGTTTCGTGCTGACAGAGCGAGAAGCCCAGGGTGCATAAAAAGAGAAATCTGTCACCGGTCACATCTGCCTTTCCTAACACATTACATTTAATGAAAAGTAAAACAAAAGGCAGTTTGCCACAGCTGCCTCACCAAATTCAAATACCGTCTCATTTCTAAAGCAAGTAAAATGCCATTTTGACGTTAAGTAAAAAAGACCTGATAAAAATGTGAAGTACACAATGTGATTCGTGATCCTCTAGAACAAACCAGCCAGCCTTCTGATGTACCAAAAGCCACAAAGAGATGGGCAGAGACCCTAAAAGAACAAATTCTACCACAACAGCAAGAATTGGGCTTCAGTATAGTCCAGAATATAAAGATTCTTCTCCAAGGATGCAGCACAGGGAAGCTGAGAGGAAGGACAGCAGACTGACGGCCTTCCTGCTTCAGACGCTCACGGGAGGACTACAGTTCTAGTTCGTAGCAGCAGTCTGGGGTTATAGAAACTCCAATATTTTCTGACCGTGCAGCCTTTCAGCTTTGAGACAGCAAAACATCTGCCTGTAACATTGTCTGGCAAAATTTATGAGCAGGAACATGACAGTTTTATGTAACTCAGCAGCCCATGGCTCACAGTCCAGCCTTCATCTACACCAATATTCTAAAGACCCAGGGCACTGCAGATAAACCATGCTGACAGCTTGGACCTATACCAAAGCACACAGAAATAGCAAATATGCAAAAAGGACACACCTGAACATCGTGGTGTTGACAAAGCAGTTTCAGTTGAGGAGGACTCACAAGCTCTAACCCACTTTAATGACTACCCAGCCATGCTCTCAAAAGTGCTGTACTTCGCTATAGGATAGCCTGAGGTCTAGAAGCTGGGGTTTGCTTTCAAAATACTGATTAGCATTCCCACACTTACTTAGCCAAGATGCCCACACTCAAGAACAACTTGATAACCTCAGTGATACACACGGCCGTCGTGGAAAAGTACAGCTCTGTCTCCACCGTCCTGGTGTACCGCAGTGCGACCGTGTACGTTGCAGCCACCAGGGTCATCACTGTGAGGCAGTACAACTTGAACAGCAAGCTGACATTTTCTGAAAAGAAATACAAACAAAAACCCAAAGATGATGACACAGCGTGCCCTTCATTTTAATTTAAGAACTGAAACAGGGTGTTCTCCAGCTGGAGGACTGCACCAGACACCACTATGGCAGCATATAACAATTACAATGTTGTGAAACACTTCCCATAAGAAGTCTAAGTTAAATTTTAATGTCTCCTCTCAAAGACTGTATAGAAACACCAGGGGGTTGAAAATAGGATATCTCTTGCCCTCATTCTTTGTTCTAGAAAAAACTAATCAGAGACCAGTATTTACCTAATAATAATCAAAAAGTCTGTGCTTTTCTGTCCTTTAGCCAGCAGTGAGTGCTTGCCCTGAAAAGGCAGCTGATGCTCTCCGTTACAGTACATGAAGTCTGACACAAAGAGCATCAGCAGATTAGTAAAAGCAAAGAGAGAGAAAAAGTCCAGTATCAGCAAAGCAAGGACTCAACCCAGCAAACTTAAATAATAATCATTTTCTTCAGCCTTATTTTCCACCGAAGGTAGTAAGAGAAGAGAGTTTTGCTTGGAACGATGATGGGACTTCACACGAATAGCCTTCTTGAAAAATTATTCCCTGCAGAAAACACCGAGACTGTGACGATTAAACCACACAAGGACAAGGATGTGTCATCTCTGTTCCCCTCTCTGTCCTCCCCACTCCTACAACAGCAGCAGTTCTTGTAGCAGTGTTGCCCTGAACCAACTACTGCCCTGTGCCGCTCGGGGCTCAGCCTGATGTGAAGCATCAGCAAATGTGAGACAGGTACAAAACCATTCTGCAAACCGGTAAACGACTGATAAGTGTGGCATCTGGCAGGCAGACATGGGTCATTCAGCAGCATCTTTCAGGCCTATCTGTCCTGTTCTGAATAGCCTAAAGAAATGAACTTTAATTGGTATAAGTTGATGTTTCTCTGCTGATTAGGGAATGAGCTGACAGATAAGCTCCGGCCACATTTGTCTTAACTTTATTCAATATGGGAGCAAATTGTTGCATCCAATGTTTTGGTTCATTTTTCTGTCAAGCCAGTGATGTCTTCAATTGCATAACATTTCTGCAAGGTACAGTTAATACCTCCTGCTGCTACAATCGTTTAAATTAGCTATTTCCTTATAGATAAAAATCTTACCCACGTCAGTAACCACTTTTAAAAGGTAGAGCCAATTAGTTTCTGGACTAACAATGCTTTAAAGAGACTTACAAGCTGTAATCCATTTTTAAATTAAGTTTGTATTGTAGGGAGGGCAGAGGAGGCGGTGGGAATCCAAGGGCATAACAGCCAGGAAATGAAATGAACCCAGCCCAGTTTTACAAAAATGTATTTCCTAATATCATTTCTGTCAGCAATGTGTTTTTACACATTAAGTATTTTAAGTCTATGCACTACTAAACTAAAACAAAATTTAATGCTCGCCTATGTTAACTATCCATCATATTTACCTATATTAACTTATCTATCAAATGTGAGGAGAAGTGGCAGTTTGGTGAAGTTCCCACTGATTGGAAAAGGGGAACATAACCCATGCTTTTAAAAAGGAAAGAAAAGGAAGAGCTGGGGAACCACAAGCTGGGTGGTGCAGCTGACACACTGGAGGGAAGGGCTGCCAACCAGAGGGACCTGGACAGGCTGGAGAGGTGGGCACATGTCAACCTCATGAAGGTAAACAAGGCCAAGGGCAAAACCCTGCACCTGGGTCAGGGCAGTCCCAAGCACAAATACAGGCTGGGCAGAGAATGGCTTGAGAGCAGTCCTTGGGGGTGTCCGTCAATGGAAAACAACATGAGCTGGCAATGTGCACTCACAGCCCAGAAGGCCAACTGCATCCTGGGCTGCATCAAAAGAAGTGTGGCCAACAGAGCGAGGGAGGTGATTCTGCCCCTCTACTCTGCTCTCATGAGGCCCCACCTGGAAAACTACATACAGCCCTGGGGCCCTCAATATAAGAAGGGCATGGAGCTGTTGGAGCAGGTCTAGAGGAGGGCCATGAAGATGATCAGGGGCTGGAGCACCTGCCCTACGAATACAGGCTGAGAGAGTTGGGTTTGTTCAGCCTGGAGAAGAGAAGGCTTTGGGATGACCTTATTGCAGCCTTCCAGTTCCTGAAGGGGTCCTACAGGAAAGATAGGGAGGGACTTTTTACAAGGGCAGGTAGCAATAGGATGAGAGGTAATGGATTTGAACTGGAAGAGGGGAGATTCAGACTGGATATTAGGAAGAAATTCTTTACTGTGAGGTGGTGAGACACTGGCACAGGTTGCCCAGGGAAGCTGTGGATGCCCCCTCCCTGGCAGTGTTCAAGGCCAGGTTGGACGGGGCTTTGGGCAACCTGGTTTGGTGGGAGGTGTCCCTGCAGAGCAGCTGGAACTACATGATGTTTAACATCCCTTCCAACCCAAACCATTCTACGATTCTATGAACTATTCTTAAAAAATAAATAAATGTCTCAATTTGAGGCAACAGTTTGCAAACTTGGGTAAATCAAGTGCAGCAGGACATGTTAATAAATCCAGTAACTACACTAGATAGTCCCAGTATTATGTTAAATCCTATTTGTGTTTAGTTCTCAGCCTGAATATTTCTCCAGTCTGGCTTACATGTCTGCACCGGTACCAGTGCAGCACTGGGGGCAGAAGGAAAGCATAGTTGGGGCATCCATATGTTCTGCCGATAAGCCTGAACTTATACTAGCTTAAAAAAAAATGAGCTGAAAGCAGCTGTTGTTTCTCTCCCAGAGTTTCTCTCACTGGCTTCAGTAAATCCCACTCAAGTGAAACCACTTCCAGCAAAAGGGACCAGACAGTCCAAAAGCCTCAGGATATATAAGCACAAGCCTCCCACACATCTCCACAGCTCATCTAACCGCTCCACCTGGGTGCTTTTAAACAGCAGCCCAAGGCCAAGCCTGGCACCTGAAGTACAGCTGAGATGCCTGCCAAAGGCAGCCGTGGGCACCTCGGACCCAGCCTTACACCCACCACGGGCAACTCCTGCTCCTGGCCCTTCTCCTCCTGGGGTTCCCTCCTTCCCGTCCCCACCAACAGCTGAGGCGCCCTGTCCAAGTTCCTCTACGGGGGAAGCCCGCAGAGGGGCAGGCATCGACTTCCCATAGTGTTTAAGCCCACCTGGCTTGGCTGAGGCTCTGGCTTTGGGACCATCGTGGCTTTGGCATCTCTGCACCCACTCCAGGAGAAACCCAGGGACCGGTGGTGATTTTAGGGACGAGGAGCAGAGGAGTGCCAATGCACACTGCCGACCTGGGTCTCACCGCTGTGGGCCAAGCCCCCAAACCGTTGCGCCACGTTCAACCCCCCGCCGGAGCAGGAGCCTGCGACAAAGGCGCCACCGCTTCGAGGCGGGCTGAGAGTAGTCCTAAAAGTGGAGGCGCCCACGGTGGCCCGGGGGTGCCCACCGCCCGCTGTCCCGCCGGACGGCACCTCCCACACGCCGGAGAGCCAGTGGTCCCG